AAACGGAGCTCCCGGCCTCCCTGGACGAGGCCCTTCCCGAATGGGAACCGACGCGTCCTAACAGAGGCCCTGTGTCCTGAATGGACGTTTGTCTGGCCCAGGGCCAGACTTCCCCAGATGCCTGCCCAGCTAGTTTCTGGTCGGGAGCACAGGGAGGGGCAGGGAAGCGGTTTTCATGGTGTCCTGATATTCAAGGGTTGGGAACTTTACCCTTTCCAAAATTAACAAGAGGACCGAGAAGTCAAGAGCGCAGCCTCTAAAATACTAAAGCACAGGGAGGGGACATGTGAAGTCACAGCCACCCTCCCACAACCGGCTGAGGAAAGGGTATGCTCAGAGGGGAGGCCCCTCTACACTCAGTGCCAGGGGCTACCATGTCCATCACTGGCCTCCATTCTTGGTTTGTCGGCCTTCCCCAAGGAATGTGGAGAGTCAGGGGTTAGGTTATAAGAACCATAAATATACTCAGTTTAACTTTTTTAAAAAGAATTATTTTTAAAACCTAGTCTTTTTTAAAGCTAAAAACTAAATGTCTGGCCCTAAGTAGGCTTTGGAGAATGGCCTGCTGTGATGCCACAGTCTGCCTTGGAGATGAAGATGGCCCAGGTAAGATGAGCTGTCCTTGGCACGGTCCCTCCTGGCAGCCCCAGGCCAGCTCCCTGGGCAACTGGGAGGCACCAAATGCAACCCTGTGAGCAGGAAACCCACAGAGACCCACTCTGGAGAGTAGAGGGCAGGGTGGGAGCTCTGGGCTGACTCTGACCACTATCCCTAAACCAAGGCAGTGGACGGAGGTGGGCACAGGTGGAGATCTGCTTCTGAGGGGAAAGGCAACTCAATGCCCAGTCAAGACCAAGTTCCCGCGAATGTGGAGCAGGCAGCAGGCCTGCCAAGGAACGGGAGGGGCATGCTAAATTCACCTCAACTAAGCTCCCAATGTAACAGGCACACTGTGGTGATTTAAAGCACACGAGTGGTTCCATTCCCACTCCCTATATCCACGTGAAGAAAAGCACCATGGGGCACTGTGGTCAGCACCTGACCCTTGGACCCAGAGTGCCTAGGTACCCGCTCATACACTGCCAATCACTGGTGGTGTGACCACGAGCAAGACTCTTAACTGCTCTGGGTTTGGACAACAGAGAAGGTAACAGTGGTACACACCTCAGGGCTGCTGGGAAGCTTCAATGAGCTGACACTCATGCCATTACAGCGATGCCCAGAGCACAGCAGGCATGGAGGAGACGTGTCAGCTCTCACGCCATCACAATTAGTTCAATGCCACCTGGTGATGTGGGCGCTGCCTCTGAGGTGAGCCAGAACCCTTGGCTCAGCTGTGTCCACCCCGCACGGAGGTCTCACGGAGGGCTCCCCAGAGGGGGTGGTCATCATTGGCCCCCTGTCCTCAGCTACTTTCACACTGTCAGAGAGAGCCCTGCTTCACAGGAGCCTGAGATGTTTCTTTTCTTTTTTAACCCTTGTGTTTGTAAGAAGAGAGTACAAAATTATACCTCAGGAAAGCAATCAACCCTTCAAACCACCAACTTGTCCTCTATTCAGGGTACATGTGATCCATGGCATGTGAGGTGTGCAGCCAGCTTAGACGTTGGGCACAGAGAGGACACCTGCTCAGTGACTACCTGCTTGACTGCAAAGTTCTGGAGAACAAAGGAAACTTCTGGTATCCAGCTAAGATGGGACAGAGTCACCACAGACACCGGCTGTCCTGTCTACTGAAACTCCTGTCTGACAGGAAACAAGCTGGCCTGACGTCTCACCCCCGACTCCTGGCCCCAGGTCTGAGGGGGAGGCTGGGGCGGGGACGAAGGTCTGCGGTCAGGACCCCCCTTCTTGGGCAGCAGACTTGCAAAGAGCTCTCCATACAGAAGAGTTTCGGGAGCAGAATAGAGGGGACAGAGTCTAGAAAGAGGGCACGGGACACTGCCGGCTGAGAGTCCCTGGGCCGGCGCCGCCCTGGGACCCGCTCTACGTACTGTTTCAGACCTGACCGCGGCAGGAGCAGCTCCCACGGCCCCGCCACACCTCGCACTTACCAGGAAGCGGACATCGTCAAAGCCATTCAGAAGCAACTTGCTCTCATACTGCTGCAGCCCCACTGCCTCCAGCCACTCCCCGACGCTCTGCTCCAGCGTCCGCGAACCTGACGAGAGAGGAATCGGCAGACGCTTGAAAAGGGAAAAACCGTTAAGGCGGTAGCAGCGGCACTCAGAGGAAGACAGATGGCACTGCCACATCATAGTCATTACCAGAAAGCAGCCAAACTACAGACAAGAGAGCGGAGAGCGGAGAACCCGCAGCTCCTCTTCCGAGTGCGGGCGAGGGCACCCACTGGGCGCTGTGCACACCCACACCCTCGGCAGAGCTGCTCCAGGCCACGGAGCACATGCACGACCTCTGCCCACCGGTCGGGAGCCAACCCCCAAGGGTTGAGTTCAGCTCCTGGTCAGCGTTCACACTGAGGTAGTTCACAAAGTCTGGTCCCGCGGGCACTAGCGGGGCTGGGAGCTCCTGTCATCCACGCATCCGGGAGCCTGTGGGGCTGTGGGCGCGGGCCAGTAGTCCTGCGACCTTGCAGCACACACGGGTCAGGGGAGCGCACGCATCTTCATGCAGCTCAGGGACACAGGCACCGCGAGGGCTCCGGGAGGGAAGCAGCGGCTGTTTGCAGGGACCCAGCACATGCAACCCAAGCAGCAGCGAGCGCGGTAGGGGAGAAAAGAGACTTTTACTTGTTTTCCCCCAGCAGTCCCGGAACAGGCAAACCATGGCCCTTTGTGCTCAGGGGCTCAGGCAGCGAGGAGCCGAGGGCGGCGCATGGGCCAGGGCTCAGGGACCAGGCTCAGGGTGGGTCTGCTGCGACGGCGACATCGCACTCTGATGGGCTGTGCAGCCAGCGGGCCAGGAGCCAGATCCACAGCTAGACCCCGGGTACCGGCGGGCGGGGCGTCTCCTGGGCCAGGGCGCTGTCTGAAGGGCTGCCTTCCCGGGCAGGGCGGGTCTGCGGGAGCCAGGCATTCATTTTCCTCTGATAGTGGCTCTTCCTGGGACTCACCTGCCTGCCCAGGTGGAAGGCAGGCAGGCAGATCCAGTTCTTGGCTAAAGACGACAAAACCCAGCCAGATAAAAGGAAATAGTCCTGTCAGCTGCGTGGTGGCCGCTTAAGTCTGCTCACGTTCTGCGCTGTTCTCTTTGGCCGAGAGATAAAGAAGGCAAGTGTCCTCCCAGGGTCTCTGGATCCCAATGTGCTCTTCTAGGACAAGCAGAGAAGGGAGGACATCTGTCTGCCATGCTCCTCAGGTAGGGCAGGGAGGTGGGGTGAGGAAGGAAGTTCAGCTCAGCCTTCCTGGCAGACCTCGGACGCTCTGAGCTGGATGCTTAACCCCCACCTCTTCTCTGGCGCTCACAGGCAAGTGGAGATAAAAGGCGGAAAAAAGAGAAAGGGAGGGGAGAGAGGTGCGCGGAAGGAAGAAGAACCAACTACAGAAACGTCACCTCCAGAGAACTCTTGATATGGTCTTGATGTGGTGAAAGTCATTCTGTTGTTCCTGGCACTTCTGCCCTCGGGACAGGCCAAGTCCACCGGCTTGGTTATCCAGGAGACCCTGGTGACCTAGGGTCCCAGGCCCCCCTTCTTGTCTGTCCTCTGATGAACAGATGGTGGCCAGGGCGCCGGGGGCCTCCCAGTGCGCGCTGTAGCAGCAGTCCAAGATGCCGGGCCCGGGGCTACTTGAGTAGGGCTGTCTGCTCCAGGGACCTAAGCAGCAGGCTCTTGTCAGACCATGAAGTCAGGTGTTCCCGGCTGCTGATTCATTCCTGCCTGTAATCGCCGGGCTGCTGTGGTCCTCCCGGCTGCCGGAGGGTGTGTGCACTCACAGAACCGCAGCAGAGTGCTTTGTCTAAAGGCTCCTGGGCTCCACGCTGCCTGCTGCCGGCTCCACAGTCCCTGCTCACTCTCATAATGCCTGGCCCTCCCCCTTCCCCCCTCCCGCCTCCTCCCCTCCACGCTCAGGAAATACATCAGGGATCGGACATCGAAGCAGAAGCTGCTGCTGCCGCCGAGGGAGGACAGCACCACGAGCGTCAGAGCAAAATGACAGATTTCCCAACATCCGACGTGGGTCCATGTTCCCGCCAACAGAAAGGGTTGGGAACGGCTTCTCAGAGAGGACAGGACATTCCCATAGTTTTGGCTGATAGTTCCTAGGATAGCCAGAGAGGGGACAGAGGAATGACACTGCCCTGAGGACACAGCCCATAGGTTAAGTAACCCCACTTGCTGCCTAAGGAATGATCATTCCTCTGCCAAGAAGCCACCCCACGGGTGTCACAAAAACAGGTGACAAAGGACAATGCACCTGATATTCCTCAGGTGAGTGCACCAAACAGCCTGGCAGTGACTTCCTATTGGAGAACAGGGGAGAAGCGCCAGGCCCAGAGCAGGCCACCCACAATCAGAAGGAGAGGGCATGGGAGGGGAGGCACCAAGGACAAAGGGAAGCCAGGACCAAACCCCAAGTCCAGCTGTGGAGACAAAAGAGGTAATGCACAGAGACAACCCAGGGACCACATGCCACCTTTAAGCACGCTGGAGACCCTGCATCCAACAGGCTGCAGTGGCCCTGGCCCAGAGGGCTGGGTGCAGGGAGAGCAGGCCCCGGACGAGCAGGCAGCCAGAGGCTACACGACAGCAAGAAGGGCGGGCTTTAACAAAAGAAAGCAAGCAGTCTCTTCTGCTTGATAGGACAGGCCTTTGGTGAACAAGACCAGTGGCCTGGCCCAGTGGGAAGGCTGACCCTCCTGGACTCTGGCCATGGGATGAGCTGCAAATCATGTCTGTTGGGGCGATTCAGGTAACGGGTTCCAATGCTGGCGGCTCAGGGGCTCATGGCTCAAAACAGGATGGAGACTCAAGTGCTACAGAGAGTCTCACCCTTTTAGGACATAAGCCTCTGCAAAACCTGCCACACTAGGCAATCCCGTGCTCAACTGAGGGTTGGCTGTTGGAGGGCCCTACTGCTTCCCCTGCCAGGCTGGCAAACCCAGAGCCCAGGTCCCTTCTCCTAGATCCAGAAGCCCAAGGACAAGCTTCACCCTGATACTGACCATTTAAAATAAACCAGAATCCTGCTTTGGTCTGGGCTGAAGGCTAGTGCTCCTGGGCGCCTGGGGAAACCCCCCTCCTGACCATCAGACAGAAAGCAGAGTGCTGGGCAGGCTAAGCCCACCCTCTCCATGGTCGCGGCTTGCAAGTGGGGTAGACACAGTGGGCTGGGCTTGGCAGCACGGGGGACACCCCGCTGTCCAGGCTGCCACCCTCATATGTCTGCCTGCCTTTGACATCCTAAGCTAGGGTACAGAGGATGAGTAAACCAGTGAGTACTAAAGCACGACCGTGTGCTGGGATCCAGAAACACGGGAACAGTGGGACCAAGTCCCACCACTCACATGGGTTCACGGGGCAAGAACTGGGGTGGAACCAGCAGGACAAAGAAAGAGCTCCATGCCACCACCTCTGAGAGAAGGGCTCCTCCACAGTCTTTTCCAGAGGTGCTGCCGCATCACCTGACAGCAAAGTCTAGAGGTGATGGCCTGCTTCTGCCCCAACCAAGCACAGTGATGGGGCTCCTCTGACACAGAGGGGTGCAGGGAAGCAAGACTCGGCCTCGGCTAACGGCCTGTTATCCCTCCCATCCCTGGTGGTGCCCAAAGCACAGTTCTGAAAATGGCAGTGGTGTTGGTCTCAGCCCTAAACTATCCCCACAGACACCAGACTCTTGGTAAGGTCTGCACACTAGAGCAGCGTGTGAGAATGCAGGCCCGAGAGCTGCAAGAGCCTAGAGACAGGTCCCTAGCCCTCAATCAGAGAGCCCCTCTGCAGACCCCGCCGTAACCCAAGATGGACAAAGACAGACGAAAGCCAGCTGGGCCCCTGCAAGAACCCAGGGAAACAAGGCTGCTGGAGGAGGGCACCACAGCCCAGTCTGAAAATGGTGCCGGGAAACAAGCCAGACACACGCTCTCTTCTCTAGGTTTCTCCACATGAGTCAGCAGTGGTTTCAGGGTGAAAACAAGCAGAGCTACTATTTACTGAGTGTCTCTTCAGCTCGAGTATCTGTATATATCACTCAGTCCCACAAACCTATGTGGTACTATGGGGTACTTTATGCCAATGTTGTAGATAGGGAACTGGGGGCTCAGAGACACTAAGTGACTTGGCCAAGACACACATGTATCTAAAATCAGGATTTGAACCAGTACAGAGGCTCCAAGCCTGTCCTCTCTCCATAAGTCCCCTGGCCTCAGCAGGTCCTTTATCCCCAAAGTGCACACTTGCCCCCACCCACCAGGCTTTCTGCCATCGCCAGAGGCCCAAGGAGGAACCAAGGTTACTTGGGGTTAACAGGTCAACTCTGGATGGAGCCTCCCAAGTAAACAAGGAAGCCTACCCCTTTGGTGCAGAGAGGCATTTCCTTGACAAGGGGTAGAGACCACACTGGGTGGGGGAAGGAGTGTGAGCTGCTCTGAGGGGCACCTTTAAGAATGTCACCTGACCTAATAAAGCAACACAACTACAATTCTATTATCAAAGACAACAGCTCAGATATGGCCTCTGTAGTCCCGTTTCAAATGAAGGAAACCGAGGCAGACCTCACCCCTGGGCGTTGAGAAGGAACACTCAAAGTAGCAGGGATCTGAAGTAAAAACGACAGTGACTAGGTAAATGGAAAAATGGAGAAAGACACACTGGCATGGGCTAGACAAAGGAGCGCACGTTGCCGTGAAGAGTTAGCGCCCGAGCCTCCTGGGAAGCTGGGGAGACCAACACTGGGAAGCGCTCCAATTTAAGCCCCTCAGAGAAAGCCTACATTCATGAAAAGAATTATGAGTAGCAATTGTTCATTAAAAAAAATAGTTTCTTAATAGGCAGACTGAAGTTCAATTTGTACACATTCCCCTCCAATATGTAAAAGGAGTCAAGGCTCTACAAAGGACAGCGAGCTGGGCTGTCTAGATAAGGAGCTTCTGAGTGTGAGAGCTTCCTGCGGTCTGAGGCTGGCCTCTCACCCGCAGGGTCTGCCTTCTGTGTCAGAGGGACACCTGGGCACGAAGGAGCCAAGGTCTGTATTGTGAGGGAAAGATGGCTGCTTGGTACAATACCTGAGATCTTCTGCTGTTCCTGAGAAAAGTCAATCCCTTCTCCAATAGAGCTCATGATTTTCTCAATCTGAAACGAAGAGGAACAAAAAGGAGAGGCTGTCAGGCTCGGGCTAAACGTGGGCAGCTCACCATCCATGTACTGGGCAGACCTCTGGGCTCTCCCGTGCTTCCAGGCCAGCACCAACCTGCACGATGCCAGGACTCTGTCACTCAGGTCAAGAAAGGCCACTTTGGCCACAGCCAGGCATGGTCTAAAGACATGCTCTGAAGGGCATGAGCAGGTTAACAACCTGGGCTTGGCTGCTGAAAATGCCAAAGAGCCTCTCTTTCAAGCATTGATACATCCCCCGCTCCCAGTCCTCCTGGACCGGGTGAGGACTGGGCAGAGGGGCAAGAGCAGGCCAGACCTAGCCCACCTTCCTGTGCACACTAGCATTTTAATCCATTAGAGACTTTGTCAGCTTCGTCACATTAAGTACCCCAAGCGCCTAGAGTAGTGCCTGGCAAGTCAAAAGCACTCAACAGGTCACCGACATTGCACGATCACCAGCTCTGAGGCTGTGAGGCCAGTTTCTAGAACTGAAACGAGCACATAATCCTGAGTGGAGGAACTTTCGCTCCCTGGAGGCCAGCAATCGTGACAGAGCTCTGCATCAGGGATAGGAAGGGCCAGACCCTTGTCCTCAGGACCACAGCAGACAGCTGGTCTCAACACGTCTCATGTCTCTAGCACTGCCCCTGTGCGGACCACCAGTGCCAGCCCTGAGCCAGACCAAGCCCCCCTCCCCCGAAACCCGGCCGGGGCAGGACTGGGCAGTGAGGCGGCGACCTTCTCTCTGCCCCCCCTCCTTTCTGGGTTGCAGTGATAATGAGCTCATTCACTTGTTCTTTTTCCAAAGAAACGGAAAGAGAACCCTTTGTACCAGAGTTTGGAAGCTCTCCTCTAAGTGCAAGTAAGGAGCCTGGATCAGACAATCAGAAAAACAACAGCTCTCCAGCCAGCCTGCCGCTGGCAGGCGAAGCCCGCATATTTACACCCAGCAGAAGAGCGGGGGCAGGCGCCATCGCTCCCCTTGCAGCCTGGGAGGAGCACAGGGAGGTGCTCTCCAGCCACAGAAATGACCGCCTGTTAACACACACTGCGAACTCCACCCTGTGCTCAGCAAAAGCAAACAGAACCAGGAGAGGTGACCAGTGGAGCAGATGGAGGGTGTGCCTCCACGCAGTGGCTGGAGGCCGGCTGGCAGCACCCCGGCAGGCCTCCCTTTCCTTGGGCGTGGCCATCTCAATTTTGCCTCTCAGCAGGCAGCACAATGCAACAGGGAACGGCCCAGATGGACAAGCGAGCCCTCTCAACACCAAAGCCTCAGTGTTCAGTCTGTAAGTGGGGACAGGTCCTGCCTCCCACAAGCATGGCGTGGACCAGAACTATCAGGTAGGAAAAGCATCCAGCCGAAGACCTGGCTCACAGTAGATGCTCAATAAAAGGCTAGTTGCTTTCCATGTCCCCTCGGTGTCTGCAGTGCTCTAGCCTAGTAAAACTGCTTTTTAAAGTTTTAAAAACTATTTTTACTTATGTTTATTTTCTGACAGGTAAAACATCCACGATTCAAAATTTCAAAACACACAAAAGGTTATTCAGAGAAAAGTCTCCTGCCGCCAGCTGCCTAGTTCTTCCTCTGGGAGAAACCAGTATAACCAGTTTCTCCAGTATCCTGCTAGATCTATTCTATCTGCAAGTAATCCAATACATGAATGGATTCCATATCCAACACCATTTAATAACGCACCTTGGAATTCCTTCTACAGAGAACTTTGAATACTGTTCTACGCACATCTTTGGTCACACGTGCAGTCCATCTGCAGGCTAATTCCTAGTTATTTCCTGAGCGTTCTCCCAGACACAGAATCTCACAGGTCATATAATATCCCAAGTCCCACCTCACGTCTGATTTTGCTAAAGGCTTTCTCGAGATGGGGCAGTTGCTAACTGTCCTAGTCAGTTCACCCCATTTGCAGAGAACACTAACTTATAACACTTGCCTTTTCCCGGACTTAAACCTTTTTTCTAACTTCAACCCAGTGGTCCCGCTGTTTCCCCAGAGCACCCCCTCTCCTACAGGAAAGGCTTAGAAATATCTGGAGACAGCTCCTCTCCTAGGCTGAGCTGCTCCCCGCCCCAGGCTGCTCGGATGACAGATCAGTGCCGAAGCCTGGCTACCCAATCAGATTACGAGCCAGGACGCTGGGCAGAGTGGGCATACAAGAGATATCTGCTGACATGCCTTCTTTTCCCTCTTCCACATTTATAGGACAAAATTAGGGCGCTCAGGGTGAGGAAACTTTTTCCTACATGGGTGATGGGCCCTTATGCCAGGGATCCCTCTTCTAGGCCAAAGGGTGTGTGTGTGGGAGAATCACCATGCAACCTCCGTGAGGGTTGGAATCAAGCATGCTTTATTTGCCATTTCAGCGCCCCACCCCGGCTCATGACAGAGGGAGAGAGAGACAGAAAGAGAGAGGTGGGAGGGGAGGGGCGGTGCGGGAGCAGAGGAGAAATATGAGTGGTTTCCACTTACTTAGAGCCAGCAATGAAAAGCTGTGTTCCCAAGGCCATGTGGTGCCAAGGGTTGAAGGACCTGAAATGGAGAAGACTCCAAGGTACAGTTTGAAATGAAGTCTCATCTACATTATGTATTTGCTGGTCTTCATCATCACCTAATACCCAAAGCCCCAGCTGGCCTATCCAATCCACATCTCCTGGCAGCCTAACTCAGGAGATTTTGCCAACGGGCCTTTTGAAATCACAGTAAACGGAGTTGAACTCCCTGCTGCTTCTTTGCTCTGTTCCTTCTGCTTGCCCCAGACTCACCCTTAGTCCAACGACAAAGGGCCAGGAAAAGCGCAGGCTCCCACAGACCTCTCAGTAGGTGGATGAGGGCTCTCAGCACTATTCCATCCAACTAGGAAGTATGCTTTGCATTTTGTGACCTGCAGGAGCTAAGTCAAGCTGAGAAGATCCTAGTTTATAGAGGAGGTGAGAGTGCCAGCAGGCAGTAGAGAGGAGGCAGTTTATTGGCAGCTTGCAACCAGGACTACTTCCTGCCGTGGTGGATGCTCAGGGCGAGGAGGGAAGTGGCAGTGAAGCTGTTCTACTCAGACAGACGCTGGCAGGTTCCCACCCTGCCACCGCCAGCACAGTGTCGGGCTGTGGTCCTGCCCAGCCTGGGCCAGGGAGCTGGGTCACATTGTCTCTCCCTGCCGCCCACCCCCGCCCCAGGCCCAGGCCCAGGCCCAGGCCCAGCCCCAGCAGAGGGCAAATGTGGTCATTTCAGTCTAGACTAAGAGGAGCCGTCACGGAAGACAGACACCATTCTGATCTGATCTAAATTTCATGTAGTTTAACCGTTTAGGCTTTAAAACGACCTGGTTAGGCTGCTTTCCCGAAACGTGCTGCAGCTCCTAGAAGCGGCAGGTGTGTGCGTGCGTGCGTGCGTGTGTGTGTGTGTGTGTGCATGATGGGAGGGCTCAGCTCACCATCTCTTCTTTGTCTACTGTTTAGAATTACTGTAATTTCTGGAGAGAGATGGGAAACAGCCGAACTTTCATAAAGCACTTCTCATGAACTCAATTAGGGAACTTATACTTGTGTTTGGTAAGGAAAGACCTGAAGGTTATCACCATAATGGACTCATGTTTGGAAATATTCCATTTTCAAAAATTATTCAGGACTATTCTATTCAGACTTCCCCACCACCCCCACCAGGGTTGTATAAAATGTGTTCCTATATGTCTGAAAACAAAATAAAAGGCAAACACTGGGGGTGCTGCTGCTCAGGCCATCTGACATCTGCCTGTTTGGAACACAGAACCCTGGCTGCCCACAGGCTACGATAGGAGGTGATTTGGTGGGCAGAGAGGCCCCCACTCCCCATCACCATAACCACCGCCAGGAGCAACTCAGCCTACACTATCCACTTTTGGGGGTGGGGTGAGGAGCCTACACTGTCTACTTTTAGGGGGGTGGGAGCCTGCAGTATCTACTTTTGGGGAGACGGGGAGGGACAGTTGGTGGGAAGAGTGCTTCCCTGGGCTTCAATGGGCATTCTGTGTGCCAGGAAGTGTGCTAGGCACGGCCAGTCCACAGGCCTGAGTGAAGCCTCCATTCCAGAAGGTGGTACAAGTTAGAAGCAGTGGCTCCCAGCTATAGCTAAATATCAGAGAGCAGGGCTCGTTCGGGCCAGCCTGCCTGTAAGCCAAGGCTGGTACAGAGGAGGAAGGGACAGGGATCGCCTTCCTTCTACCTTCTTTAGTGCAAATGGGAACATGAGCAGATCATTCTGTGATGTGCCAGCAACTGAAATTGGCTCCTAATGTCAGATACTCCTTCCCAACTCCCTTCCAGCTGCCTGGGGAGCTGTCAGCTCCTTAGGAAAACACACAGCGGTCTCCTCGGGCCTGTACCTTCCAGTCTCCTTGGCCCCCATTTACTTCCCTATTGGCCCAGAAACACGCTCTGATTTGCACTATTTACTTCCCTGATTAGCTGTTTCATGGTGAGTCCCAGAGACACTACTGAAGCATTAAGGGTGACAATCCTGTTTCATACTGTGTCTCTCTGAGAGCCCACAGTGTGCCCTGTGCAAAGCTGGTGCACTGGAGCACCCGGCGACAACGACGGTTACCATTTGTTAAATGCGCATGCTAAGCTGGCACCTCATGGGGACAGAGAGAGGGGAGAGGCAGCTAACACTGCCAGGCCCAGTCTGGGTTCTCTAACACACCTTCTCTCTCATCTGTACCTTTTTCCAGACTCCCTTGCTTGCGGGCACAGCAACCTCATATCCCACAGCTACCAGCTGGCCCTTTCCACAGTCCTGCAGAGTGCCTTGACTCACTGCCAAGCACACATAGTGCCCATTCTTCAGGTGAGGAAATCGAAGCTCTCCTCCAGGGGCACACTTCCAAACTCCCTGCGGATGGCACGGCTCTCACTTTTGGTAAGTGCCACTGGAAGCCTAGCCTGCTTCCTGAAGTGGGAGGGAGGCAGGTGGCAGACCTGCTCCT